AGCAACAGGCAGAGAGGAGTTTGGTGCAGAGGCTGTGAGCAAACTGTGTGACCCTCCTTCCATCTGCCCGGCACAGAGAGCGGGATGGGCTTCCCCTTCTTTCCTATCCCCACGCGTTTTGGGTTCTCTTCCGTGAGCTAAACTCCAAAATGTCTTCTTTGACTCCCGAGTCTTGCTGCCTGTTTTCTTTTGGGATCTGAGGCCCAGCACGGACAAGAGAGATTGGGGATTTCAGTGCTCTGATTAGCGGACAGAGGGGATTTTCCCTGTGCTGGGAGCAGCGCGGCTGCTCTTTAAGATTTCTTTCCCTTTCCAAAGCCTAGAGAAAGGCGATTTTTCTTCCCTGGAAAGCCACCGCTCCTCCTGGAGAATTAAACAGCCAAATGGGCGGTGCTGCCGTTCACGCTTCGCTATGCACAAAGCAGCTCATGCTCAGCACTGGGCGCCGGCCTCGCACAATGGCATCATTAGACACGCAGCTCTGCAGCTGGAGCAGCCACCGGGCTGAGGTGGTGTCAGCTTTTTTTGTACATAAATGCATCTTTTATTTAAAACACATAGGTAAGGAAGATGCAGCGTCTTGTCTTAAAGATTGGGTGAAGCAGTCTGGCAGTGGGAGGTGACTTAGGCTGGAAGAAGGTGGAAGAAGCTCTTCTCTCTCCACTTGCATTGGAAAAGGAGGTGGTGGAATCACCATCCCTGGAGGTGTCCAGGAACCATGAGATGTGGTAGTTGGGGACATGGTCAGTGGGCATGGGTTGGGCTTGGGGATCTGAGAGGTCTTTTCCAACCTTAATGAGTCTGTGATTTGAGGCAGGTGCTTTGTTGTGGTGCTAATCAGGATGGGTATTTAATGAGCCTCAGGGATACCAAGGGTTGGTTTTGCTGCAGCTGTGAGCCTGATCTGAGAGCAGTTCAGGACTGTGTTGAACTGGCATAGTGGGCTGTTGTGTTTTAAAAACAACCCTGACTTCTGCTGGCCCAAAGGGGAATTCAGTTTAATTAGGAAGTTGGAAATATTAGTATGAAAATCAGCAGCCTTACCAGCACCAGGATAAAACTGTGCCTGCCTGTGACTTGTTCTCAGCATGTTCCTCTCAGGATTTGTATTTGTCAGCTGTAATGGAGCTAACGAAGCCTGCCTTCCTCATCAGGAGCAGCTGGAAACTCACCTACTCCCTCCTTCCATGCATTGGATTAATTTTGAGAAAATTTTAGCCACGTGCTTCCATTTGAAGAGGCTTGAATTTACCAGGTTGGTGGCAGAAATGTGGAGAAAAGGTCTTTCCCTTGGGTTGCAATTTGTGGGCTCTCTAGCCTTGGTTTGGGATGCTCAGCATCTCCCCTGTATCGCAGCCCTGGGTATTTGCTTCCCACAAGTAATTTAGAAGTAACAGGCATTGCAACTCCAGGTCTAGGTGGGCTTCCCAGTACTCTCCTAACACCGTGCTTGGCACTGAACCTCGTGAGTTTTCTTCCTACCCTTGTGTCTGCAGCTGATAATAATGTTTGCGTTTTAATGATTCTAGCAGGCCTGGGATTTACTTTGACATACCAAGTTAATGTTTTCTTTTTCTATATCAAATCTAGGTCAATCTCTGGCTTAGCAGTAATGCTGTGCTGAGCAAAAAAGGATTGGCCACTAATGGTTTCAATTTAGTTTTTCATGGAGTCAAGGAAATTTCATTTGATAGCTATTTTCAGTTTTATTCCATTGGCCTTTCCACGGGAGCTGATAGGCTGGGAGTGTGTTTGTTCTTTGATTAGAGGAGCCCCAGCACGCTTGTTTGCCAGAACAAATCCCCTGTGAATATGGATGAGGATGAGAGCTGTTGCTCACCTGCGTGACGCTGTGACTTTGGAGCGGTGTCTGTAGGACGTGCACTGGGATGAGGGCTCCTCTTTGGGAACCAACCCCATTTTAACAGAGGTCCTCTGAGGTGAAAAGACAGGAAGAGTAACTCCTTTGCCTCAAACCTTAGACTTCCCAGCTGGCATCTGTCCCACGTGGGAAGGTGCACCCACATGAGGGCATGGATGGGCTGTTAAAGCCATTGGCACGGAGGAACATGGTTTGGTGGTTGTGATGGTGATGGTTTGACTGGGTGATCTTCATGGTCTTCTCCAGCCTTCGTGATTCTATGATTCTATTCTGTGATTCTGTGTTTCCCCATCTTCTGCAAGCCTTACTCTGTGGTATGTTTTTTTTATCTTCCTGCTTTGTGTCAGTCTCTGTGCACCATGGCTGAAGTCCAGGAGTGATGTGAGCAAAAGCACTGAGATACCATGGCGTGCAGCATCAGTGTGGAGTAGGGGCTGTGTACAGGATTCAGGTCTGGCTTCGTTGTTTGCTGGGTACCCTGTGGTCACTGTGCATGGAACTGTGCTCCACAGAGAGGTGGAAGAGAGCAGATCAATGGGATGCCTGATGACACTACAGAGGGCTGCGGGCAGCACCAGTTCCTCCATTGGTACCCGGATGGTGGAGACTGTGGGAAAGCAATGGGTAACACGGGCTGCTGGATTCCAGGTGCCTCCCTGCTTAGGGGCTTATATTAGGAGGGAATATTGTGATCTCATGTATTTGCTTTTTAAATGATGATGGCCATTAGCATAGAAATGAGATGCAGCTCCCTGGCTGCTGGCCAACCCCACCGGGCTGCCATGCAGCTCCTCTCTCTGTCTGCTGGCAGCAGGAGTCTGCTGAAGGACAAGTGACAACCATGAGCAAGCACTTCACTGCAGGAGTTTCTTTACAGTCACCTGGGACATATGTAAAGTTCTTGGGTGGCTCAGCAGAGATGGAGGCCCTCTGAGCAATGCCCAGCAAAGCAGCTGTGCTCCTGTTCTGCTCCTCTCCGCTTACCTTGAGATTTATTTCTGGCTGCAAGCAGCATCCAGGCAGCCACTTGCACTTAAGTTTGGTTGCTGTTTTACAGGAGATGCTACAAAAGCCTTTGTCTCTTCAACTGTAAATAAACTCGTAAACCTGTGTTAAAAATAGCATTTTGTAGCTCGGTGAATGAATTTTTAATGCATCTTCTGCAAACCAGCTGGTCTTGGCAAGGGTCACAGTGTTTCCTAGGCATTTAACATAAAACCGTGCTTCAAAGCCACATTATAGGGTCGTTGAAAAGTAATATTTTACTTAACATCCTCATAACTGAATTATTTATAACTTTCCATGTTTTATTCATGATAAATATTAATACTGGTGTCTTTAAGAGCGGAGGTTATTGCTGCAGTTTTACCTATAAGAGGTGATATTATTGAAATAAAGGAACGACAGTGAATTCTACAGCCAGCAGAGCGATGTCTGTGCTGGGGCTGTTCTCATTCACACCTCCTTCTTCTTATCAACCCTGTCAACCACTGAAAAACCTCAGTGCTGAGCATCTGTACATTTGTTAGCAATTTTCCTGCAGGCATCTGAATCCGTGCTTTTTTTTTTTTTTTTCTTTATTAACAAGCTTTGTGTCATTCTCTTTAATTATTGGACTCATTTCTCAGTGAGGGTTCATCAGCTTTGGTTGTGAGATGCTCACCCCAACCTGAGCTCTCCTGCCTTGAGGATTCCCATTTGTTTCACTTTGGAAAGGCGTTGCCTGGGTTGGAGGCTGCTGTGCAAGACCCCCCTGCTGCCTTTGGACTCCTCCCCACGTGGCTGGGTGCTCTGGGACACAAGCAATCTCATTTCCAGGCTGAACCTGTAGGAACTGGGTAAATTACCGTTTGAGCATTGGGCTCTGCCTTGTACCAGAGGGGCTATTTGCATTAGCTTTCATCTTGGGAAAGGGAAATAATCAGTGCCTGGTCTTTTGCCTTGTGTTGATGTGCGCAGCCTGACGTGGGGCTGGGGGCCCCAACCCACCCCTGTATGGCTGAAAACCCCCTCCCAACCCCACAGTCAGGTCGAGGTTTTGCTGTGCATCGTTGCAATCCTCTTAACAAATCTGCTGCGAGCCGTGGGTCGGGGAGCAGGGCGGGTTAATGCAACACATATTTAATGTATGATTGCTAATGGCCACCTCCCATCTGCCTGAGCCCAACTGGAGTTTGCAGATGAATGATTAAGCTGCCCTGACACATGGGCAGCTTGTTCCTTAGCAGAGGTACATTCATTACGCCTGACACATGTAACGGGGACGGGGCTTTCTGGCTGTTGTGATGGGGCTGGGGTGGTGGAGCAGGGGCTCTCTCTGAGTTTATTTGATATGATAATGTGAGCAATCTTCCTGCAGATGCAGCACTGTCAATGAATCACGAGCTAAATAACCACTGGGATGTTTATTAGCCTTGAATATGTTTATTGCGGAGTCAACAGGCAGCACCTTCCAATTAATTAATAGTAATAATTACTGTATTATTTATGTAGCTCTAACAGCACGCCAGCGTCTTTCTGCACAATGGTTACAGCTGTGGCTGTGCTGCAGTGGGCAAGTCTGCATTGCACCCTGTGTGGGCATGCTGGGGTCTGTCATTCACTGTGGGGTGGTCTTGACATCAACAACGTTGGTGAGCGGGGCTGCTGAGCTCCTGGCAGCCTGTTCTGTGTTGCCTGAAACCTGTTGCTCTGCAGTCTGGGGATGCTGGAAGGTAGAAGGTGCAACGAGTCATTGGGTCGGTGTGCAGGTGTACAGCAAGAGTTGGCAGGAGAATAGGCTTCAAGCAGCCTGCTCTTCTGCCACGGTGGACACAGGACGATGCAGTTTGCCAGCTGTAGGAAATTGAGATATTTGTAGGTGATGTGCAGCTGTTGGTCATGGATCTCTTTTCACACATGAATATTTTTGAGGCCCTGGCACTGCTGCCCAGAGAAGCTGTGGATGCTCCATCCCTGGAGATGCACTAGGCCAGGTTGGATGGGGCGCTGGGCAGCCTGATCTGGTGGGGGGGCAAGCAGTCCATGGCAGGGATTGGAACTAGATGGTCTTTAAGGTCCATTCTAACCCAAGCTATTTTGTGATTCTATGGTTTTTGTCTCTCTTTGTGTCTTCCAGCCATGTCTGACTTCCATATCCACCCTCAGAACGCAGTGGTGGAGGAAGGGGGTGTTGCAAGGTTCCAGTGCCAGATCCATGGTCTCCCTGAGCCCGTCATCCTCTGGCAGAAGAACCGCATGCCAGTCAATACGGACAATGAAAGGTAGGGCACGTCCAAGCCACGTAACACTGTTCTATCCACGGATGGAAACAGGTGACAGAGTTGTACTACGGCATGACTGATGCGGGCTGAGACTCTTATCTACTATTTCTGCAATGGAAGACTCTTTCAGTTCATGTTTTGAGTTGTCTGGGCACCTTCTGGCTAAAGACTGTCCAGAAATAGCTCATGCTGTAGGTGTCTCTGTTCTTTGCAGGGGAGTTGGGCTAGAGGACCTTTAAAGGCCCCTTCCAGCTCGAATGATTCTGTGATTCTGTGCTACAGGAGAGCTAGTTAAACCCTTTTAGCTGATTTTTCTGGGGCATAGGCTTACATTGCCCTCCCCTGAGGGGAGGCAGCCCTCCTCCAGGCTGATGTTTCAGCATGGAGAGCCCACCAACAGTCCTGGCAGAGCTCAGAGCAACTCTGGTATCCCTCATCACTCTGTGGCCCCATTTTGTGCAACTCTTTCCAAGCTAGAATTGTGATTTCTGGTCTTACAGGTGTCTCCTGAGCCTCTACGAGCACTGAATTACACCACGGCATTTTGTGGGTGGCAGCAGGGAAGCTCTGCAGAGCATCCCACAGTGCTGCTGTTTCCCCTGCAATCTTCCAGCAGAGAAACGCCAACCTCTCCCCTTCCCCCATGCTAGACCTGGGACGGCACGTCCTCACTTCCTGTGTTTGCCAGGCTGCTCCATTCGTGTCGGAAACATCCCTAAATCCCAACAGGTGGCAGGAAGTGCGTGCTCTGCACCAGTGTTCCCAGCTGCAGCTTGAGGTCTCCATGACCGGCGATGGGAGACAATCGGTCGCAGCACACCTCCATCACCAACTGATGGCTGTGCGTTGGGAATAGGCGAAACCAGGAAGCTGTAAATATTTTTCCTGAAAGCCTCTATTCTTGAAATGTCAGTCCTACTGCGGCGTGCGGTTGGGTTCTTTGGAGGCAGGAGAAAACACGAGCATTGGAACAATACCTGACCTTTTCAGTGCTACGGTGAACTTACAGTAGAAGGACCCAAGAGGCCCAACCGTGCAGTGGAAAACTGCAACTGTCAGGTTGTGTTTTTCTTGGTGTTTTTCATCTGAGCTTTTTTTAGCCCGGTACGTGGTTGATTTGTTAAATTTAATCTCCTCTGAAGGCTCCTCACTCATACAAGTGCTGAACTAACTATGTAGCAGAGTAGGGCATCTGGTCCAAGGTAGCATCAGCAGGAGCGAAGGATGAAGAATTGGACCTGACACCTCCTGTACATCCTAGTGAGATGTTGCAGGGTAGGTGATGTTGCTCATTGCCCCTTTTTGAGCGTGAGGTTACCAGTGTGGGATAGCCAGATTTATGGCACCATCCAGGTGTGACAAGGACTCTTTTTCTCCAAGACTGGGGAGGAAGAGGCAGACCACCACAAACTGCACTCATCCCACTGCTTCTCCTATGGGGCAGGAAGCTTGCCCAGGAGCAGGTTTTCTATGTTTGGTGTCCTGATTTTGAACAGGCTTTTAATAGTACAGTTATAGGGAGGATTTTTATTGTTAGCTCAGTAGATTAATCTCTGACACCAACGGTCCTGGGTGATGAGGGTTGTTTCTCTAACTGAATTGAATTTCTGCATTAATCACGCTTGGCGCACTTCTGCGTATAAAAGTGTATATAAATTTGTATGCTGAGTCTTGCACTTGGAGGCTTTGAAGGCAGAATAATAGCTTTGGAATTGAATCTTCTAATGCTGTGGGCAGATTGTTAACAAAATGAAGGCTTCTTGTGGTATAATTCATCCAAAACAATGGGCATTTTAAAGTCCCGGAGAGATTGCAATCAACTTCGGGACGTGTAGAACTGATTGCTGTCAGGCTGCCACCGACACTGAGCCACACGTGTGGAAGGTGGCACAGGGAGCAGATTATAGGCATTTAACCATATGCTGCTATAGAAGAAGATATTCTTCATCTTTGAGGCGGAAGTGGATTATTAACTCATCACAGTGTAATGACATCCTACAGCCAATTTAAACACACGGTTGCCAAGCAACCTGTGATGTATGTACACGTGTGTGTGTGTGTGTATGCATGCGTGCTCTAAATGAATCTGTTTTATATACACAAAATATTCACAGTTACATATATGCCTGCACAGTATCTATTTTAAAGACTCTTTTCCATGCATTTGAGGTTTTAAGGTTGCATGGGTTTGAGTCCTGTGTTGGGGCTGGAGCTGGGAGTGTGGAACACACACTTCCCCTGGTCGCTGTGCTTCAGCTGATGGGAAGTAACATGCATCAGCTGTGTTCACATGAGAACACACTTCCAAAGCTTTCCACAGGGTAAGCAGGAAACGCCTACTTTGTAGCCTTCCATCAGAAGCCATCCTTTCCCAAGGTTGCATCAGAAGATGAAAAAGGGATGCAGCCTTCCTCCCTTGTTGTGATGTCATGTCCTGCTTTCGCATCGTGTCCTGCCTTGCAAGGTTCTGATTCTGCTTTTCCTCCTGCTGCAGGTACACATTGCTTCCCAAGGGGGTCCTTCAGATTACAGGACTAAGAGCAGAAGACAGTGGGATTTTTCACTGTGTTGCCACCAATATTGCTAATGTGAAGTTCAGCCGGGAGGCCAGGCTCACTGTGTCAGGTCAGTACCAGCGCACGCTATCCTGGCTGCCTTTCCTTCTTTTTCTACCTGTTGCTGTTCTAGACTGGGACCACTTAAGAGTGCTTCAGGCTGACAGCACTGAGAAACATTCCTCTGTCAGGCAAAAGCACTTTCCTTGTTCAGGATTAGTCCATTTGCTAGCAGGTAAATCTGTCTCTTAGCCTTCAAATTAATGCCAGTTTCTGGAGAGAGGGAGGACAGTGCAAACAAGGGTTAGAGCATCTTTACATTAAATAAATTCTTCTGGAAATATGGAAGATCCATCATTTCCTTATGAGACATGCCCACCCTGGAAGTAATTATAGCACACACTGTGATCAATTATTTATCTAATAGGGGAATTATGTTCTGTAGGCTGTTAGCGTTACACTGCAACCAGAGTGAGCTAACCTTTCTTTTGGAAGATGAGAAGGAAAAACCCTGAGCTCCCCAGTCTGGGTTTTGACTTAGATCTCCATCCAGATTTGAAGCAATTGGCAGAAAAGTGGTTTTTCACCTCTGAAAGCTCCAGCTGAAGGAATGACAGTGCCTTATGGTCCCTCCACAGAAAAGGGACCCAAGTCATATACTGGCTGCTTTTTTGTGTGCTACTGGAAATACAGTGCAATAGAACTGTGAATTCAAAGCAAAGCAACTCACGTCCACACATTGCATGTGTAGAAGTTCAGTCTGTTTATGAGGCTACACAAACTGTCGTGATGAGCTTGAGTGCAGTTGGGGAAGGAGGAGGTTGCAAATACGCTACCATGTTTCCATAGCTGTGTCATACTCCACTGCCCTGCCAGCTGCCCATCTTCCATTAGCCATCCATGTGGGACTCAAGCTGACCTCTTGGAGCTCCGTGGAGCAATTTCTAAACTTGATTTTAGATTGCCTCCTTCTGCTTAGGAATTTCTTTGCCGGCCAGTCTTTTTAATTCAAAACACATTTAGCTTCAGAAGTCTCTGTTGGTGTTTCAGTAGCTGCTGCTGGCATGAGGAAGTGGAAGGTATTAAGCCAAATTATACAACCCAGACTCAGTGGTGAATGACACCATTGTATCTCTTCTTAGAAATCACACGGCCTGCCTTCAGCTACCTGGCCACTGGTCCTGCAGCAGGAGCTTACACCTGCACCGAGTGTCAGATGAGCCCCTACAGGCTGTAAAAAAGCAGTGCGTGTGAAATGGGGAGAAGCTGAGGAGTGAGTGATGCTGTGTATGTCAGCTTTTGTGGGGAAAGAAAGCAGGTTAGCTGGTTCTGAAAGACCTGGGAGCTTTTTGATGCCTGTTACTTGCCTGTTCTCTTGGTCTTTGTGAACAGTAGCTGCATGGAGGGGAAAAGTACAGTAGATTATCAGCGCATTGAAGTTCTTTGTGTCAATTTTCTGGTCTGAGTTATTGTTTCTTGTAAGACAGAAAGCTGTTAGCTGTTGTCATCTTACCATCCCTCATTGCAAATGGATATTTTCCAGGTTTCCTGTCTATGTGATGTTTGTGGTTTTTCTTTTCTTTAAAGCACTCAGATGATGAATACGGGCTCAGCATTTAAGTGTCTGCTGAAGGGCTTGGGCTGTGCTTCAGGTACTGCATGTGAGCAGCGCAGCTGTAACTGCACTTTGCCTGCTCTGAGCCTGCTGAAAACGCACTGCAGTGGGTTAAATCTCAGAGAAACAGGTTTGTGCTCTGGGTGTTTGCAAAGAGGAGGATGGCTGCTGCAGGGGAGGAAGCAGCCTGCTCGCAGCCCATCCCTTCCTCTTGCCCACAGCCCTGCCTTGCAGCCTTGCTGATTGATTATTTTCAAGTGCCTGCTTAGCAGAGCTGCTCCCCAGGGGCTGCCTGCCTCTCGGCGCTGACACCTTTTCAGCATGAGCTGCATCTCTCTCTGCTGCCATCCTTTTGATCGAGATCTAACGGCCCGTGCCATCACTGCTGAAGTGCTTGTCACTTCAACAGAGCTGGGGACCTCCCCATCCTCTGCAATTGTTGCTGGCGGAGTCCCTGCAGACCGCAAGCATCAATGGAGGCTTTTTCCCTTTCAGAAGAAATCCCCCTCACATTGCCTTGAATATCGAGGATGAGAATCCCTTGTTGTGTCACTCCTTCCCCCCTGCATGTTGGCTGGAGGAGGAGATCTCCTCCCTGATGGCCAGGGTTTGGCCACGTCCCTGCTGGGCGACTGTCCCCTCTGGGGACCTATGGGAGCTGGTAGTGGTGGAAGCATCAGTCCCAGAGATGGTCGTGATCTGACCAAACTCATGGAGCTGATCCTGTGCCTGGAAGCTTGATTGCATATGTAGGACTCAGGGTATAAATCAAAGGAGTGTGATTTCTTTGTTGTTGTTGGCAAAATGGAGCATTTTATAAATTCTGCTTTGGTCTCAGCTCCCGTTTGCTGATATTCTTGGGTGACCTTGGACAATTCGTTTCATTTTTCAATGTTTTGAAATACTGAAATCTGTATATAATACGATGATAATATCGTATTATTCTAAGCGTGAACATTTACTATTGTGATTTAGAACAATAAATTTACATGGGTTTTAAAAGCACTCTGAGATACTGAGGGGGAAGGTATTGTTTTTCAGATCTCTTGGGGTTAGCCAACCGGTCATATGAATTTATTGTGCATTCTGGTTCTCATCAAAAAAATCTACATTTTATGGCTTGCAGTGAAATGCATTCAATGAGAAAGTCAGCTCTTAAGTCACACCGACACGGTGATTTTTCTTGCATTTTGCCCATTTAGACACAACCTCAGAGCTTTTTTCCTGCAGGGATGATGAACACACAGCTGCTCTGATCAACGCTGGCCCTTTGGACCACTATGAAATGCCCCTGCTCTGACAGGGTAACCCTAAGAAATGCAGGAAGAGAGGAAATCTTGGAGAAAAACTCTTGTAGATAGGTTTACTCTTCGATAGTAATCAGGCCCTGCACTGCATCCCTGCCTGTGGCAGACTGCTGCTCCCACTCCCCAGTGCCCTGTCCTGCTTGGGGGGTGTCAGCCCATGTATTCTTCTCTGCAGGTGTTTTTCACAGAGCATTTTTGCCAGCAGCAGCTGTCAGATTGTTTCAATTCCTCAAACGTTGCTTGACCTCAGCATTTCTGGAGTGCAACCCAGCTCTTGTTGGAAATGTGGAGCATGAAGACTAATGAGGAGGCTGTCAGTGTTCTTGTTTGCTGATGGAGAACTGAGAGTACCTCCTTTAATTCCTCTCTTGCTTCCTTCCGAAGAAATGGGAGTGAAGGTTGATGGGAGCATCAGCCCAGGAATAAGGCACTTTCTGGGGTTCACAGGAGGTTCAGCTGTGACACAGGGTAATGGTTTTGTCCCTGGTCATCTTTTGCCTGGTGAAATGTGATTTCTGTCTCTTATCCTTTGCCTCTGCTGCTTCCAGTGTCCTTGCACCAGAGTTTTTAATATAGATCCAGGAGTCAGACCCAGTGGAACTTAAGGGTCCCTTCCATGTCAGGAGATTCCATGAATCTCTGATCTTGGGTGATGGGTTTTGTTCTTGGCTGCTGCCTGTTGGTGCTGCTGTAGTGCAACTAAATATTTGTGATCTCATGTGAGCAGTGACTGTACCATGTCTCAGGGCAATGTGTTGCAGCCCATCCTGCACCCTGGTACACCAAAGTGAATCAGCACTTGCAAAGGACAAGGAATGACTGCTCTACAGTCTGCAGCCAGCAAAGCAGTTCCCTTCTCTCTACTGTATGTATGCAGGGATCAGCAGAGCTCTTGTCAGATGGCTGAGTTTTCCCCAGAAATGTCAATGCCCTCTTAAAACACATTCAGACAATGCAGCTGCCTCACAAGCATTGCAATCCTTTTGTTTCGTGTATTTCCTAAATATATTGAGGATGGCACCAGCCACATCGTTTGTACTTCGAGGATGAACAGAGCCCTCTGTGTTTCCATCAAACAGAAGAAAATCAAATGCTGCGAGGCCACGCGGGTGCCTTCTAATGATGCTTCTGTCCTTGCAGGCTCCCACTCCACCGTTTACAAGGACCCCATGATTCTCGTTGGACCGGAGAACCTCACGCTGACGGTGCATCAGACCGCAGTGCTGGAGTGCATCGCGACAGGCAACCCCCGGCCCATCGTCTCCTGGAGCCGCCTAGGTGAGCCCCGAGGTGATGGGATGTCTCCCCATTGCCATCACATGGGAAACAGGGAGTGCCACTGGCTGTCTCAGCAACAAGTGATTCACTCTTTCCATTCCTACAGTGATTAATCGTGCGCTTGAAGTGCTTTTTATTTTCTTGTCTGTGCTTTGCTTTTTCCCTCTGCCGAGATCCTGTTTTCAGCTGTTAAGGAGTGGGCTGGTTCAATCTGTAGATGTATCATGAAAGGTGATAATTTTCTTTCCCCGACTGACAGCGTCTCCTTCAGCTGCATCAAAAACATCACCACTGTTGGCCCCAGAGAAACAAAATCGTACAACACAAACATGTCTTCCATGTAAAACAGACTTAAAAGAAACTTGCTGCCTGTTCAGAGAGCTCTATAAAAGCAGAGAGAGCTTAAAGTAGCATGTCTGAAGCTCTGAAAAAACAGATGCTCGCTGCCGAGGTCAGTGATATTCTTTAATCGGCATGGAAACCAGGGCCAGTGTCTGATGGCATCGTACAAGTGGAATGTAATGTTATTCCCAGTCTGAAAGCAAGGGTTATTTTAGGCTCTAACTGGGATACTCACTCCGAAAATACTTTGTGCAGAGCAGCACTTCTACTGCCCAACAGATGTCTGTGCTGAGCAAAGAGCTGATGGCTTTTGATTTGTCTTCTGGAGCTCGTAACTCTCTGTGAGCATGCTGTGGGGTTGGGTTCAGTCAGCATTCCCCAAGGCCTTGTGATCTGCAAGGTCGTGTGGTTTTTAGAAGCTAATCTCCCCGAGTCACCCCAGGTGGCTCTGAAGCACAAACAGGGATAATCTTGTCCTGTGCTGCTGTGCTGGATGTGGGGCTTCAGCTCTGTGCTGCTGGGGTCAAGTGAGGCTTGTGGGGGGAGTGATGTCCCACCACAGAGCCATCTGTGAGGGCACAAGGACACGTACCCAGCAGTAATAGTGCAGTTTCTCCATGCTTGCCTTCCTGCTCGCTTCCTCTGGTGGATTATAAAATCAACTTGTGTCTGCCACTGACTATTTTTTCCCCCAGAGCCATAACCATCAGATTGATGCTGGTTTAAAAATTCCCCAGATAAGCTCTAGCACTGTTCTGGTTCTCTTGGACACAAAGCAGCTCTATGTTAGCGCTCAACTATAATAAACTATGTTATAATTGCCTTAATTATAAGTGCTTATTACCTTCTTCAAAACACTTGTCTCTATAGAGCAGTGCAATAATGAAGATGTAATGGCTTCATGCTAGATTTGTCTGGATGGTGTGAGCTCAGCGTTGCCTTCCACCAAAAATAAACACCCCTTGCGGCAAAGCAGCAGATTTAGAGCTACTGAACAGGAAGGAGATGTCGTTACTTTCCCTACCCTTCAGTGGGAATGTTCCATGTCCAAAGGATGACAATATCTTCATGACATTTCAACAGTCTCAACAGCGATGTGGCTTACAGGCCCGCTGATAAGTCTGTAGGCCTGCCGTCTCTTTGCAGTGATTTCAGAAGCATTTTCCTGCTTTCATCCCCTCCCAGAAATGATAAAATCCACGGTCATGAAGTCTTAAAGATGTGCACCTGATTTGGCTGTAGACCTGACTTAATTTAAACAAAAAAGTTAATGATATGTGGCAATCCCTCCTGCTTGGTGGAGGGAGAGAGTCACAGCATTGCTGTTCTGCCAGGACTTTGCACTGGGGGTGTTGCCATTTTGGAGGGTCTGTTTCAACCCATTTGCTCACAGTTTTGATGTTGTGGCATTTCTTCTATCAGAAAGGAGCAGAAGAACAATTTTGCTTTCACAGCTATCTGTTGCAAAGGGAAGCAAGCCATAAAAACATTTGCACATTTTGCTTTGCCTTTGCTAAAACCCGGCCGGTTTTCAGTGGGAAAGGCAGCTATATTTTGCTTGAAGGAAATCATTCAAATTCTGGGCCAGTTTTTGACTGTCACACAATCAATTTTGAATTTAATTTCCTTGGGAATATGTTGTAGCTGCTGACCACAAACAGAATTCCTGTGTGTCGCAGTGTGTGTAATGTCAACATTCATTAGAGAGCAGGCTCTGAGAGAAATGTAAAATCATTAAGAGTTTTTCAGGGAAGATAGGGCTTTTCCTTTCAGAGCTACACACTTCAGGCTTGGACCTGTATGTGTGCACAAATGAATATCCTGGGCACTTATAGCAAAGCCTTTTGAATGAATGATTTTAATGTATCCTTACCCTTTAACTGACAGGCCACTGAGCTGGCCTCCATAAAAGGTACCAAGGCAGAATAATACACTATTTAGAGAGATACAGAAAAGTGAGGCGAAAAAGAAAAGACAGTGATTATCTGATAGCGTTATACAGGAGTTGTCAGAAGGGGTCACACAATGGGAAGGAAATTACTGAAGAGGGAGCCATTCAAGAAGTAAACTATACAACAATTGTAGGAGCCAATTAATTGGTAACTTATTGGACACAGAAGCTTGCAATAGATGGCTGACTGGTTGACAGGAGCACCGTTCCTGTAAGTGTTTAGAAATAATAGAGTAAATTTCACCACTTCACATTCTGAATAGTCAACTGTTGCAATGTACTCTAAATATGCTAATCCACTGTGCCCAGTGTCCGCTGGAGCAGGAGACCCATGTGCCTAAGAAGTAGAAGGCTACTATGGCACAATACAAAGAATTCACAAAAGACCTAAATGATCAACATTGGGAAGTTGTTACTGTCTTTCTACTTGCTACTTAAAAAAGAAAGGCGTTGGTGTTGTTGCATATTCATATCTCCTGGCGTGTTTTAACAGGTCCCTGTAATTGGTACGAGTGTGCCAATCACTCCTTAGCAGGCAGAGAAAGGACTCCAGAAGGCATCGTGTACACCTTGGAAAAATAAATAATGCAGCTCCCAAACCCCAGGCATCTTGCATCCAGCCTTTGCTCCAACAGGAAACCTGGGAGCCTCTAGTGCTCCACAGACAGGCATTCTTTGGGAGCATCTCCCCCTTGGAGAACACTCCTGTTTATTCCAGGCTGCTCTTCGCATCCTTCATCTGTCTTCAATTAAGGATTGACAAAGATAATCTGGTGGTCATTTCCCCCTAGTCTGGCTTGTTTGCAGCTCTCAGATGTTCTGCTTTTGAGTTCATGAGTGGAAGGTCATGGTAAATGATCGACAGCTTGAAGCCTGGAGAGATGACTTGTTGATGGGAAGCAGTGCCAAGAAGGTGGGTTTTCAGGCTCTTAATCTCTTGATCCAAGTCTCCCTGCAAGAAAAACAAGGTTAAAATAGATGTCAGTCTTTGCAAAGTGGATGTGAGACATCAGTCCCAATGCACAGCACTTCTGCAACGGGTTGAGCTTCCTGGGTACAAAGGATTTCTTGTTTAAATGCCTTGTATTATTTGTATGCATTGTCAGTGTTACCAAGTTAGACCTGATATTAGCTGAAAACCTTCTAACTGATCACAGGATGGCTCAGGTTGAGCTGGTGTGGGTTCCAGAGCCCTTTCCCTGCATTTCTCCAAACCCATCACAGCTGTGTGGTGCTGCATGGCCCTCCCTTGTGTCCCAGCCCTCCCATTGGGGTTCAAGAGTGCTGGATCTGCCTCCTTACCCTTAAAGCAAATAGAGCAAGAAGGATAGAAGAAGCTGGGAAAGTTATGCTAGAAGCTTGCAGGACTTTTTGGAAAGCAGCAAATGAGCAAGAAACACACAGGCTGATTTGGCATGGGGACCCTGTGTGGCTGCTGGAGGTGGCTGTGCTATTTGAATCAAACAGCAATTCCCTAGGGGCTTCTGGGCTCAGAGGGCTTTGTTCCTCAGGGAGATGAAAAATGCTGGGTTGACAGGAGATGTTTCTTCAGAGCATCACACATCTAATTAATACCTGGAGCCAGAGAAACAACTGAGGGAAGTATCGATGCAGGTATTCAGGCTGTGTGGAGTATCTGCTGCAGGCTGGGACTGTTGTGCTTAAATTATGTAGCACATGATAAATAATACAGTAAATCTACTGACATTCAAGTCACATTTCTGTGGTGTTTCTTAAGGCAACGATGGGATGAAGCATCCAAGTATGGCCGCTTTGTATTTTTGCTGATCCCATCCCTCCCTCGAGAGGGAGATTTGATTTTTACACCCATTGTAAATACAGGCTTCCAAAAGGCCTAATTTAAAAGATGAAATCAAGTTCAATTTGAATTTAATTCAGACCTCTTTACACTTCAGTTCAAATGATGTTTGAAGGAAATGGTTCCTTCTTATTGCTCATTAAATGCGGGACAGGTCATGTTTTATTGTCCCTTTTATGACTGAGCCATTTACTGCTGCAGTGGCTTGGCCAGCTATGTGATCATTTAATCATTTAATGACATTGTTTTTCTCTGTCTAGAAGACCCAAGCATTTTTCTTTGCAATGCAAATAATGAAGTGATCTAGCATTGCCTGCCTAATGAAGCAAGGAAACCTTGAAGCCTAAAGATTTCCTGAAAAACAATACAAGGAGCATGACAGGAGAAATGTTTATGAAGTGCACGGTAGCTTTTGGACCGTGTTTTGCCAGTAGCCTGATGCTGCCAGTCTGAGATGGGATCCCTCCAATGCTGCTGTCAGAGGCACGAGCTCCCCATCCCATCCCTGGCCTGCCAGGTGGATCCGTATGTCTTGATAGTTAATTTGCCCTTCTTTCCAAGTGCTGCTTTGCCTTTCTGTTTTCCCAGTCTGTTGGTTATCCAGTGGATCCAATCCTCATAATATTCTTTATTACAGAAAGCATAAGATGAGATCTAAAGCATACTATTGCAAGGTAACTTTCTTGAGGTTGTCTGGTGCTAATGGACCCCAGCAACAATTTCTGCCCACTTGAGGTGGGTAAGACTATGGCACAGACCAGCAGAGCTCCTGGGAGGAAATTTTTTGGATTAATGTTTCCCTTTCCTAACCACAGCTTTGAAGTGTAAGGCACAGACCCTTCTGCTGGGGAGCACACACGTCTGGAGGGCTCGTGGGGTTTTCAGATGGGGCAATCATCAAGGATGGTTCTTGCTTCTCCTTTTCTGTAAGCTCCTTAAGCATCTCTGTGAGCAAAGGCAGGAGAGGAACTGGATTCCCAGTTCCCATCAGAGGAAAGTGTGCTTTCTTTAACTGCTGCTCCAGTAAGACGAATCCCCTGCCTTGCCCCTCTGCTCAGACACCCTGACACATGCTAGGAGTGATTTAAAGCTGCCTTTGTCAGACAGTGTCTTAAAACACAAACCAATGAAACAATAAAAAGCAATAGCCTGATACTAATGAAACACATTGTAATTAGAGCTGGCTGGGAGTTTTCCAGTGAAAACAGGCTTTGTTGAAAAAGAAGAATTCTCTGATTCTGAACTATTTTATGTTAAGTGCTTCAGTTTTGAAAATGTTGCTGCTCTCCAGCCATCCTCCTTCAGACCCAGCACTCAGGATGAAGGCAGCCCTTCCCATTGCTTCCAAGCCAGTGCAGCTGAGCAAACTGTCCAGCTCAGAGTTTGACTCCTGGCTATTCTGTGTACTCAGGAGTTCAGGAATCGAAAACCCGATGTTCATGCGGTTTCCAAAAGCAGTGGATAGATCCACCAAGGGTTAGCAGACACAAAAGCATCACTTCTAGCTCAGGAAATCCCCAGGTCATAAATTGCTGGTGGCAAGAGAAGTGCACCAGGGTGTTTGCTTGTTTTCCACAACAGGTCTACTGGATCCTTGGTCAGTCCAGTGTAAGAACTTAGACAGTGACTTGTTGAAGTTGGTACTATTTGCTTTTACTGCTCTGTTGAAAAGCATTCTGGGAACTTCATCTTAACCTGAACATGATGTTGAAAGCTTCCACATTTCCTGTGATGGTACCTTGGTTTTCCAAACAGCACGAAGTGTGGCTTTGGGCAGACACTTAACTGAGAATGCTGTTTTTCTCCAAAGACAGTTCTGCTAAGAGCATCAGCTATAACACATTGACTTTACTTGGCAGATCCCAGTACAAGTGCATGGTACCATTCCATAAGAACTTAGACTGGACCTCAACAAAGACTGTGCCTTGGAGAACTTCAGACAAAGGCCCAGTGTGCAACCCTTACATTTTTCCCTTTCTTACAGATGGCCGCCCAATTGGTGTGGAGGGAATCCAGGTGCTGGGGACAGGAAATCTCATGATCTCAGACCTCAGTGTGCAGCATTCTGGCATCTACGTGTGTGCTGCAAACAAACCTGGCACTCGGGTGCGAAGGACTGCGCAGGGCAGGCTCGTTGTACAAGGTGAGCACAGCAGGGGTGACACAATTGCAGAGTGATGGTACCCATGCGCTTTGCACAGCTTCTGTGTGTCCCTGGGCACTGTGACAGGTTGGTTTGGGCTTCTCTGATGGTGTCAGACAAAGCACTTCTTTTTTAGATGTGGTTCTCCAGGTAGGTGAAGGTTTCTGTATCCCACAAAGGTGAGCGGTAACTTGGTATCTTTGAACTGAATGTTGTATGAGTTGCAGTGTCTTAGTGCCTCATCTGAAGTATTTGGCTGAGCAGACTTCTGTTGTTGCCTGTACATCTCAGCGGAGAGCACAGGGTGAATTAGTTAGCCAGGTTTGTCTCTCAGCCTCTGCATGGTCTTAGTGATACAGGGACGTGGGCACCATTCTCTTATTGGACAAATGTGCATCATTCATGCAGTGATATCCAGGAGCAGATATGGCACAAATAAAACTAAAGCCATTTCCAGAAAGTCAGCAAGACTGTTTGCTTTAGCAGTCAACGCTGCATCTGAGCATCTTGCTCCAGTGTGGATAAAGCCCCATTTGGGTTCACGCTTAGAGAATGTATGCTGCTCCCCTTCCCTGCAGCAACTGTCCTGAAATGTCACTGTGAGAGGGTAATTCAGCCCAGAGTAGAGTTCAGTACTGAAGAAACCAAACAAATCCCCTGCATATGCTCTGTGCAACCAGTCTCCATGGTGAGGGGAGCCAGGCAAGTATTTCAGAAGGCAAACCCAGCTGGCAGTGTGCTCTGAATGGCAGTAATCCGCCCCTGATTACAGGCACTCACCTCCTCTTCAAGCTAGTCCACTTAAAGCGTCGTGCATGCTCTCATCAGTTCACTCATTAGCTATTGACTGATGATATCCTGAATTTGAAATTATACACCTCCTGCTGGAGCGAGCTAATTGAACCTTTCATGCTGGTGATGGGGAAAGTGCCCTGCTCCAGTCCTGATGCTCACCTGACAGGTCCTGAGAGTGGCTGCAGTGATCCAACAGCCCCTGCAGTCCCTGTGTGCTGGCATCCCTGCTCCCTTTTGCCTTGGGAGCAGCAGAAAGGGAGCTTGTACAGGGCTGAGTGATCCTCCTGGGTCTCAGGTGCCGGCAGGAGGTGAGAAGTTGCCATTTCTTTTGCTGTTGCATTTCTAAGTGAACTGTGCAATGAGCACTGCCAGCTGGCCTGGGAGTCTCTTTTCAAGCGACACAGCCCAGGCATTGAGAACAACCCAAGCATTGAGAAAACCTCACTGTACTGACACAAACAATTTTGAGCTGCTGCAAGATGGCTCTGCACATGCTGCATGTGCAGCCCAAGCACAAAGCTGATTTCCAGGTAGCAGACAGGCAGAGCCAGAAGAAATTACTTGAAAAATCTATGATGTTGTAAAAATGCAGAAATTAGATACACTTGAGGGTTCCAGTTAGCAATTGGAGGAGAGGGGAAAGGGTAGCACAGTTTCTTAGTGCCACAAAGCAGTCTCTTTGGGGAGCTGAACATCAGCCCCTGAGCAGCAGCAGTTGTCTGGAGTAGGATTACTGTGGATTTTCACCTAGGAAACCAATATGAGAATTTGTCCCTAAAAGGGAGTCCAGCCTCACTATAGAAAGGAGTTGCTTCAGTGCTGGAGATGAGCAGAGAAGTGGGCAGTGATGTGGAATATCCTTTGTGAAGCACATGATATGGACATGAGCTGCATTGTACAAGAGTCGAACCTGTGTTGCCATCCATAAAGTGCCTGATGTTGAGGCAGGCTGTCCTTCCCCAGGCAGGCAGCTGGACTCATCCTGGCTTTGCTCACCTTCCTTCTGGAAGCAACTTCTCCATCTGAATCTCATTTTGCCTGAATTTTCCAGCTGAGAGGTACAAATGATTGCTGTTCAGGTTTGCTTGGGAAGCAAACGCCAGTAATGACTGATGTGGGAGACTGATTTTATCTTTGTTGAGATGGCAGCGATGCAGATTACATCCATAAAGAGAATAAAAGCCAAGAACAAGCTATCAAAAGCCTGGTTGGAGAGGAAGTCAGCACAGGGCTAGGACAATGCCAGCATCCTCAAAGCGCCAGGCCAGGTACTTGCTGCCTTTATACAGAGCCCTTGAAGTGCCTGCAGGCACAAATTAACTTGCCCTGTGCCTTTTGAAGGAGGCACGTTTTATAGGTGGGAAACACGGGCAGAAAGAGCGATGTTTCCTGTTGTAAGACGAGGAGCTGGCAGGAGGCAGGGACTGAAACCCCATCCGCCCTCCTGCTGCCGCCTCTGCCTCACTGCAGGATGCCAGGGTCCCCATCCCAGCAGCCACAGAGGTGTTTTGTCACAGGGCTCTGCTTTTCCTCCAGCTTTTCACATTGCAGGCTCTCCTTCAGATCATCTTATTATCTTCCTGGGAATTCCTCCTCCCTTCAGAGGATAAGGCCTCAATCCCCCGCTCCCTCCCTCCCTCCTTGCCCTCCCCTGGCCATTTAGGCTCCTTTGATCTCTTTTGTAAGGTTCTCACACAAGAAAGTTTCCATTTTCTCTCCAGATCCCAGTGCAGCCATTTGAATATTGCTTTGTGCCGGGCTGCCAATGGAAGTCTCCCAGGGGAGCAGTGGAAGGGCTGAACGCAGCACGGCCAAGCATAGGGCATGCGTGTGTGCGGTGCAAGGGAAGAGCAGGCTTTGGTGGCAAGGGGAGAAAAACATATCAAAGCGCTTTCTCCCTACCTCCTGTGCAATCTTTTGTGCTTTATTATGTGTTTGGTGTCATAACAAACTGATGGGCTGTGAATGGCCAGATGGTCACCAGTGTTCTCCACTCCACGCTTCATTTCCTCCTGAAAGCTATGCAGAAAAATGAGAGCCCATCTCATAAATGGGTGCCCATCTTAAGGACGTGGTTTTGAAGGCTCTGCTGACAATGGTTGCCTTGTTCATGGTGTTTTCTGCTTGCAGAACAGGGCACTGCTCCTCGGTCCAACAGATCTGGCTGCCGCTGCACTTCCTGGTGTTTCCTCCATCTCCGTGCCATGTTGGTGTTGCTGTAGGGCTGAGTTTGCCAGCACGTGTGCTGCAGTTGCTGTGGTTAAGGCTCAGCACCATGGCACATGGTTTGGCTGAAATTCATGCTTCAGAAATGGCCCTGTGACCCTCTGCAGGGTCAGCCTGCCCAGCTGCTTGTTTGCCTTCCCAAGGAAAGCAGCTGAGCAGGGACCTCGGTCCTCATCCACTCGGATGATGTACTGAGCGGTGGTGCTGGAGCCCCAGTGTGTCCACCCTGGGCCAGGTAGGTGCCATGGAGACGTGTTCCCACTGCCGAGCAGCTCCAGGCTGTGCTGTGCTGCACCACAGATGAACAGCTTCACAACACCTCCCTGGTTGGCCTCTGCCTGCTTCCCAGCAGACGTGGCCATGGTTCTGTCTTTGGCCCCAGCAGTCCCACCAGCTCTGCAGCTTACAGTTACTCACAGAAGCGTCTGTGCATCCTCTGTAGGCAGTGGAAAGAGGCAAAGTGAGAGGTAGTTCTTTATCTTATGTCATCTGATGCTGTGCTTGACCAACTTCCCTGCTGACCCGTCTTCTCCTTTATGCCCTTCTTGTGCATTCTGGAAGTCTAATTTATGAGGTTTTGTTGCTTCTAGATTATTCTTCCTCCTCCTTACCCCAGCCTCCCTCCCTTAACCTATGACTGTAGCTAATTGAGAATTAATGACTGCTTAGTGTTTGGGTGCAAGGGGCACTGGCACCTCGAATTTCCCTACAATAAAGACTGCACCCCAAACCAGTGCCAGGGCTGGGACTGCATAGAGAGGCTCCCCATTATCTGAGGACCACGGGCTGGGAAGAGATGGATCCAGCCCAGCTCTCCCATTGCAGCCTGCTGTTACAGTGCATCTTTGTGCTATCACAGTTTGTTGTGCACAGGAAAACCTATTGCAGCATTTCTTAACGATCCTGAAGGTGGCATTAAGCATTATTGCTTTTTGATACCAATGTCATGCCCTTAAATATTCATTAAAAATTCATTAAAAATGATCCCCTCCCTCCCATTAAGTCCTGAAGAATCAACATTCTGGTTTCCTCATCCCACAGAAGCAAGAGCTGGAGCCTGCCTGCTCCTCCTTGCCAGGATGGAATCCTCTGTTCTGAAGAGTGATCTTCATTAAGGTCTACATTAAGATTTTCCTGAGTGGCCTTTTGGCTGCAGGGTGGAAGGACATGAGCTTTTGAGGCCGCTGTGCCTCAATGTGCTGAGCACTAATGAGATGCTCTGTTAATTATGAATGAAAATAAGGCAGGGCCGTGCTGCTGCTTCTTTCTTGCCACTGAGGGGATTGAGTGCAGCCTCAGTAGGATTGCAGATGACACCAAGTTGGGAGGAAGTGCTGATCTGCCTGGGGATAGGAAGGCCCTACAAAGGGATGTGGGTAGGCTGGATCCATGGAGATGTGGCACTGAGGCACATGGTCCGTGGGGATGGGTTGGGGTTGGATTTGGTGGTCTTAAAGGTCTCTTCCAACCCCTCGGTATGGGGTGAGCCATCAGAGGGGTCCATAATGAAGCTGTCCCAAGATGGCCATGCCCTTCCTTAGCACTGCATCTTGCACCTTTGGGCATTGCAGGCGTGACTCCTGAGCCCAGATGAAAGCCAGGAGGTACACAGCCACTTGCAGAATAATTACTCCTGCAAAACCTTCGCCAGCACAAAATGGGGGGCAGGAGGTTAAGGAAGCCTTGAAAATGTGCTGTGCTCTCAGTGTATGCCACAAAGGGAGCCGTTCACTGCAGGAAAGGGAGATTTCATCCCCATTTGTCTGTGCTCCCAGCTTTATTGAACCCGTCCTGAATTTTATTTTAATTTATAAGCCTAGGGGGAAAAATGTGGAAAGGAAAAAGAAGGACAATGCATCGATCGGCACCTAGTGAAGTTTAGCAAGAGGTTCTGAAAATATGTGTCCATTAAGTTGTTGAGCTCAGGTTCATTAGTAGACCCAAGCGCCTGATAATAAACTCTGCTGGGGGACACCCCTGACTGCTAACATAAGTCAGGGCTGCCATGCTCCACTTCCCTTTGGTTATTAAAACTGAAATAAGGGGTTCCTTCAAGGTAGATGAGCTCTTCAGTGAGCTTCTGTGTCTTTCTGCTTGCAGGGCTTGTAACCAGTGACTTTGCTTTGAGACAGAGGCGCCTTTTGGTGCGCTTTGGCCTTGCTGCAGTGATAATGATGCTGTTTCCTTGCACACATGCAGCTTGGGAAGAGCTTAATCATGATGTCCTGTCATAGCTAAACCCCATGGTTTTTGTTTTGGGGTTTTTTTTGCCCCACGAGGGCTTTGCTCTTGCATAGCTGCTTCTGCATGCAGATTGTACCCAGCCAACACATCTTGCTGGACCACTCTGCTGGACCAGTCTGCTCCTTCCTCCCATCCCCACGTCTCACACAGTCCCATGCATGGAAAATCTTGCAGGTAGCACTGAGTGTTTCTCCCTGGATGATCTTGCTTTTGTCGGAAGAATTTAACGCCAGCCATCCACTGTGCAGCACTGCTTGGTAAATTCATTATGGGCTCATGCCTCTCATCTGTTTGTCTTCATTGCGGCTGCTGCTGGTTCCACCTGATTTTAGGTCTCAGCATCAGCGTGGAGTATATTTATCACTTTGCCCTTTGAAGCGTAACTGCTTGAATAAACTCACTGATTTGGCAGCGCCTTTCAGGCCCCGCTTTCTGTAGGCTGCTGTGCTGTTTTATTCTGATAAATGGTTTTAAATCTATTCAGAGCTGCTGGGAGGGGGAGAAATCACTTTCTGTTTACAAATCTGAAGGTAAAACTGTTTGGTTATGAGGTTACAGCAGTTACAAGCTATGCAATCTCCTCCAAGGCTCAGCAGTTCCAGAAGGGTCCCAGGCTGCAGATCTGAGCTAAAAAAGGCTCCCAGACTATTGCCATTAGAGGATGTGCAGCAAATCCCATATTTGCTGGGGACAGAAGAACCTGCCAGATTGCCATGTGCATGTCTGTACATTCCTGTCCATTTGCAAGTGGTTTGCTAATGCCATTTTATGTGTTATTTGCTGCCTATCCTGTAGCTTGGCCAAATGTCCCTGAATCTGACAATAATAGGACTTTCTTTCCCCAGGTAGCTAAAACGACACAAACAAAGCCACAAGGTTGCTTTTCATGCCGGAATAAAGTGTAATCATCCTGACTTCTCTCCTTCTTCCTCCCTGCAGCCCCTGCAGAGTTCGTGCAGCATCCCCAGTCCATTTCCAGGCCCGTGGGGACCACGGCCATCTTCACATGCGTGGCCCAAGGGGAGCCCCCCCCGCAGATCACTTGGCTGAGGAATGGACAGATCCTGGAGACGGGCGACCACATCAAGCTGAAGAATAACAACAGGTAAGTGCCAGGGTGAAGGGCAGTGTCATCCTGGAGTTGCCACACACAAAGGATTGACATCACCTACCTGATGGCCCAGAAATAGCTGTCACTGCAGGTCTGTTTCACATTATTTAGCTACAGACATGGGATCAAACTGAATAAAGAGCATGTTAGCTCACACAGGCTTTGGCCAGTGGAACCTGGCAACCATCCTGATCCTCTTCTGGGTGTTTCTGGGAGGGCTGTTGTCCCTGATGCTGGCTGGGACACCACGCTCGCTCCGCAGTGGAGGAGTCCATACACTGATCTGCCTGGGTGTGCAAATGCATTTCCCCCTGTTTGAGATATTTGCATGGAAGCTGGCTGTCATTGAACTACAGCCTTTTATCTCACCAGGGAAGAGTGTTTTCTCTGAGTACTAAATAACTGCATTTCCATACGAGGGGATGGGGATGTTTGCACCGCGCAAATGATACGGTGGGATGCACTTAGTGTGAAAATTGCAAGTTGACAACATATTTCCTATGGAAATAGCATTGAACAGTATGCTGAAAAATAATATTACCTCTGCTGTAAACCTAAATTACTGGTAGAGATTTGCACTCTGTAGTGTCATGTGGTTGCTCTCTGTATTGGTAAATGTGACTCACAAGTCCACCTCGATAGAAAGTCAGGACCTTCAGTTCAGACTGGGTTGGTACCAACACGTGTTCCCTAGGAGAAATGGGAGTTTTATTTCTGTAAGGCTCTCTGTAATGTAGCTTTTTCTTTTCAGGGTTGAGGCATTTTTAAGGTTTGTTACATGAAGGATGGAAGGATGTGAATTGCAGGAAGGATAAGGTGTGAAATGTAATAACATCTTCTTGATCAGTGGAGGGTTTTTCATACTGGGAGATTTCAGAAAACTTCAGTGAACTTTGTGCATGTACTTACAGATGCCACTCATTCCATCCTCACGGTGTAATAGCTCAGTGCTTGGGTTTCTGAGGCATGTCTGCCCTTAGAATATGAACAGACCAAAAACAGGAGAAAGGACATCAGTGCGTCCCCCTGTGTTGGCCAGGAGGCAGAGTCACAAGAGACCAGAGACTTCAAAATCCATGAATAAACTTGCACAGAGTCCAGATCTGGGTCTTTTCCTTGTGACTTGCCTGTGAAATCATTCCTCCTCCCTGTTAAAGGAAGGCAGAAGTAGGGTCTTCGATCATGACCACGACTCCCAGCCAGGTTCCATTGCCCAGAGCTGTGCTCCACGTGCCTGTTAACTGCCACTCGGTGAACATGGCTGTAATCATTTTCTTATGGCAATCATTTAATGCAATTTAGCTTCAGCCTTTTCCATTGCAAGCAAACCGATCGGATTACAGTGCATCTGTAACAGGCTGGGGGAGCTCAGCCAATTCCTGGGCTCAGCTGACATGTGGTGCCTTCTGCAGTAATGCACTTGTAAAGCAGAACCCCGAGGCCATTGCAGTTGACAGTGTTGAACTTTCAGCTTCTTTTCCTTTACTTTTGGCACACTCCAACCCTCAGCTTCAGCAAAATGTCCGAGCCTGGCAGTTTCCAAAGCTTTCAGTCTGAAAAATGCTCTTGCTTGTCCAGTGTGTGGTTGGGTGCTCCATGAATCGGGGGAAACGATTGACTGCTGTTTTTTTCTGACCTTTTTCAAGTCGTGCTTTGTTTCTTTCTCATGGGCATGACTGAGTTCACTTTGTTCCAGGCAGAATCTGCGATTATGCTTTGGATTTATCAGTCTATTGAAGTTGAAAAATATTTGTCCATGTAAAGATGGATCACAAATCTACTAGTAATGAAGCTACTAAACTGCACCGTGAGCTATTTAATTAGATTACATGGTTTCCTAGAAAATTCATTTGGATTAAAACTCTGCTTAATATAGCAATAAAGGTCTCAATGCCCCCATAGGGATTTTTAGGAAAAAAAGGAGTACATCATCCCAAATCATACCACATGCTAATTGTTTTCAAAGCATATTACTCAGAGCAACCTTGTTCTTGGAAAGGAACCCAACTAGAAGTTGATCCAGACCTGCAGTGTTCGAGGTGGAGCTCTGCAAGCACAGCCCCTGCTTGAGGCATGGATCTTCTGGCTGTGTCCAATAAATTCCTCATCCCTCGTGGTTCTTCTGATGCGAATCCTCGCTGTCTGGTGTGCTGATAGTTTCTGGACACATTAGCATTAAAGATCAGCCTTCTGCTGTGCCCTCTCCAGAGGTGGTTGTTATGTTTTGTAAATGCCAGCTGCGTGGGAACAAAATACCCAATCGATGATTAGCAAAAAATCAAAAGCAGTTCTGGGATAGTGGATAATTGTTAATGAAAAATGCATGAAGGCTCAGGTGTGGGGAACTGTGGGGTTTGCCATTAAAATCTGTGAAGAAGCAGCACTGGAGGGGCTGATGATGGGGGGTGTCCTGCCATGTCATCCCCGGGTTGGGGATGGGGTTGAGAGGTGTCAGAGGGATGCTGTGCTCAGCCCTGCCCTTGGTTCAGAGCTGACATGCTGCCCGTATTTTTGATGGGGTGATTTGGATCAATTGTGATATCAGTGCTCTGGCCTAAGAGAAAGACAAATTGGCATTTTCAGCTGCATTCCCACCTGGCAACACAGCCCTAAAGCACGTGGATTGCTGCAGCAGGAAGGGGTGGTTACTGGATGTATTAGTTGTGAACTTGTGTAAAATCATGCTTTTTAGGTTATTACTTCAAAATCTACAAGGAAGCATGAAATACTACCCAAATTGCTGCTCTGAGAGGTTTATTGCTTTTCTTCCTTTAACCCAATCAGGTTCAGGGGGATAATTTTCAGCCCAGAAGTGGGGGTTATATTGCTGTAATAGCAAGGAACAAAGGCTAACATCTTCAGAGAAGGCAGGCTCTAAATATTGATTTTCCAAGAAGATTTTATTTACAAAATGGTAATTAAGGGACTTAATTTGTTCCACGGGAGGAAGGCTTCGTCAGAACTCAGGCTCAGGTGGTGTTTGCTCTCCTTGTGACCTTTGCTTATGAACTGTCTCCTTCTTAAATTCTTCATCACTGGTTTGCCCTTGTTTTAGTGCAGTGGGAATGGCTCACTTCAAGGGCTGTGCATGTGCTTCAAGGGATTATCAGAGCAAATATTTCTCTGTAGCTACCTAGATTTGAGGACAGCTTTGCTTTTCTTGACTGGTTGTGTTGCAGATACGGAGAATGGGCTTCAAAGGAGGTACCCCCATGTGCTTTTGGGTACCAAACCCATGGAAACCACAGCCTGCTGCTGGCAAGGAGGCATTTGACTACAGAATCCATGTTAGCTGGGTGCAGAGAGGTACAAAGGGATTTGTGCATCCCTTCAAACTCTTGAATTTGTAGGGAGTTGGACACCTTGCAGGAGGACAGGCGAATCTGCGGGTTGTGCTCGCAATGAGCTTTGAAAACCTTTGGTGATTATGAGAAGGTTACATACTGAAAATCATATTTCAGTTCCCAGAAGCATGACAAATAAGCACGTGGAGGACCGGGATGCGAACCAGCTGCTTGTGATTTAAGAATAATTTATGGGTTTGACTTTGTTTGGAAGACGCATGGGGAGGCTGTGCAGGCTTCTAATTGCCTTGGTGGGGGGGTGGGTCTGCACATGGTGCACACAGCGTGCTGCTCAGTGGGGCAGCCCCTTCCGTGGGCACCGGTCCTGTGCCAGGGTCACACTGCAGCCCCAGGGCAGGTGGTGGTGATGGGTGTCAGTCTGTCCTCTTGTGGCTGCTGTTGTGTTGCTACTGCTCTGCTCAGGAAGTGCAGTTCAGGGGCTTCAGTGTTTCTTGGGACAAAATACACCTGGGGGGGCTTTTTATTGAGTAGCAATAGCTCTCTCAGCTGTCTGTAGTACTGCTACCAACACAGGCATCCACCCTCCTTTCCAGGAGCTTCTTCTGAGATGTTCTGTGCTCTGTGTTTCTGTAGATGTAAAAGCTTCTCTGCTCCCTGCCTCGGACAGGATTGTGTTAAATCTGTAGTTTCAAACAGAGCAAGTGGCAGCAGCTCATTCACTACATGTCCTCAGTGCTCTGTGACATTGCAAACCCAGGTGTGCTAAAGCCAGCAAGGAAGGATGAGCATTTCAGGATGAAGTGGTCCTGCTGCTGTACTGTTTTACAGCATCCTCTTCTGCAGAAAAGCCATCCTACAGCCACATCCCTGTCCTGCTGCAAGCTATCCTTTCCCAGGACTGCAAGAAAGAGCAGCATCTCTGTCTGACAGCTTTGCAGGGCTGAGCATTGGCTGACCCTTTTGTCCTGCAGGTGAGCGGGTGAGGTGGCTCCCACTGGAACCATGCATCCTATTTGGCAGCATCCCTGCAGGAACTGCACTGGGGTGAGTCTGTAACCAAAGAGCTGGGTGGGATCCTGGCCTGTGTCTTCTAGACACCAGCCAGGCTGCACAGAAAGGGATCATCCTCCTGCCCCGCATAGCATGACCCAGGCAGTTCAGTTCCACCTAAGAAGCCTGCAGGGCATTTAATTCCTGCAGGCGTTAGAATGTGTGTGGAAGGCTGGGGATGATCTGTAGTGTCCCTCTGGGCCAACGAGTGTCACCCTTTATGTTTTGCACCTTATTCTCAGCCTGCACTAAAGGCAGCCTCCAAACCCAGGGCATTTCTGCATTAATTTCATCACACTCCCGCTTTGTGCGTGCGTGCGCATGCTGATCTCCTTCCAGCTGGGCCCCTCTCCTCCTTTGTGCCGCTGAATCGATGAAGAGCCTTCCTTCAGTCCTCAGACTTTTGCAGAGGAGCCTTTGGAAAGCTGATCTCTGGTCAATGGCCCGGACCCCTGACCTCAACGAGATCAGTCATCCTGATTGCCTGCAAGCCGCGAGACAGCTTGGGAATAGCAGCTCGGAGCCCTCCCACTCCCCTCCTCACTCTGGCTCAGCAGAGTGTGAACTCACCACCTTTCTTCTCCCCACCTCCATCAACACCCAGCGCGGCTTTGTGCCCAGATGTGACGCAGCCCACGCGGCTCTGGTGAGCAGCACAAAGACCTCTGGCATCTCGCCGTGGTCACAGCGCTGCCGGCCTGCTGCTCACGGGAAAGTTCTGCAGCAGCAGATCTCCCAAAAGTGACAGATTTTTCCCGGTGACAGGAAGGAAGAAAAGGACACCACCTTCTATTTCAGATGTTGATGTGCAGCGATGCTCCGTGCTTCCTCACACAGCAGCCACATCTTTTCCTTTTGTTGGAGCTTCCTTAGAAAAAAGCGAACAACTAAAAGAGCATCTTCTGCATCCTGGGGGTGCTGTGTGAGATGGGCAGAATGTGTCAGCAGTTCAGATGCAGAGGGATGCATGGCAAAGGGAGTAGCACTGGGGTTCCCATAACCCACTGGCAACTCCTCATATTGCAGCTTGGCAGCCCCTTGCAGGGCTCTGTCCGTGGGTTGGAGGGAGAGAAACTGGTGTTCACAGAGCTGGTGTTTAGATGCTGGGCATCCTGCTTACTTGATTTCTGCTCCTCCCCTAGGTTTATAGGCAGAGCTGCTCATCCAGCAGCTTTACTGAGCCTGTTGCTTATGCATCCTTCCAGGTAACTCGTTGTACAGCCAAATCCAGCTGTTTTGTTTTTCATTGTAAATCACGATGAAGATGGACTTTTCAAAGCCAGAGGCACGTTTGCAGCTATCTTTTTGATCACTTTGGGGGAATTTGCCTTATTTCTTTTCCTTCTGGCTTGGCACCCATAGCACTCTGCAGAGGATGGTCGGGGCTCTGCCAATGCATCTCAAGCATCCTCCCCTTTTCCCTCCTCTCTCTATCTTTTAAATGCAAAGCAGATAAGTAAGTACACTTGGAGGCAGCAGATAAATGGTCCTTGTTCCTGGCTGGCTTTGTGCTTAACACTGCTCTGGGTGGTGTGTGTGTGCCAGCCCTGGCTGCCTGCTCCCGGTGCCCAGATGCACTGCAGCCGTGCAGAAATAATCCCCACATTGACAGGGCAGGAGGAAACACCGCTGCTCCCTGCACACATCTGCTTTACGCGGAGCTGCAAGTGCAGCTCTTGCACTGCATAATCCTGCCTCCTGCCATCTGTCCTCGCAGGAGTCGGGCCGTTGAGTTGAGCCACACGCCAGGGCTCCCCTTCCATTTAATCAGATCTACTGAGCCCGTGGCGATGAGAGGGGCTTAGGGCTGGTTCTCTAAAATCACCATATCAGCTGAAACCATCACATTTGATATTCCATTTACAATGTTTCCAAGGAAACAAAGGCACGGGGCATAAATAGATGGCTGTTAAACATTTGCTCACTCACCACGGTCCGGATAATTTGCAAGGCAGAAATACAAATGTTAAATCAACAGCAATAATAAATTTTAACACTGGGAGACCAATATTTTGCTGCAATTAGAAGCATTCATTCTGTCATCCAGGCGGGTTATTTATCATCACCACCTCCCATGTACTGTCTTTCATTTGCATAAAGGACAGCTTTGATTATGACTCCCTAAAAACCACAGAGTGCCCCTCGCTTCAGCAGAGGTGCTCATGATTTACTCATGTGCACTCAGCTCTGAGGTCCACCTGGAATTCACCTCAGGAGAAGAAACTGGTCTTATCCTCCCTAGAAGCAGCAGGTGTGGTTTTGGTTAGGTTTGGCTCATTTCTTGTGAACAAAAGGCTCGTGTAAGCTTTGGCACAAGGCAAAGAGATGATGCTAAAACTGAGGCATTGAGGTCTCCCAGACTTTCTGCCAAAATTCAAATGAACTGAACTGGGGGCTCAAGCAAGAACTTTAGCTCTGAAATAAACCAGTTCAGGTGCACACGTGTACGTGCAGTCTACTTGTCTATGTGCTCATCACCCACCAGCAGCATCCCAGAGGTGGTGCAGAGATGGGCACTGTGCTCAGGAGCACTGCCTTTTGGAGAAGAGGTGCTTCAGTGGCTTTCTCCCTTTTTTAGGGTTGTTTTCCAGCAGGGTAGCCTGTGGCTGTCTTTGATGCATGGAAAATGCACTGAGGGTTTTCACAGATGCATTAAACTTGCACTGCACTCATAGGCTTTGGCTTTGGGCTCATGGTGAATGTTTTTTTGAGAATACAGAGCTAGGAGCTGAGAACGTAACCCTGCTGAATAAGTCAGCTAATCCCCCTGTCACCCTAAGACTGCTCTAATGTGCTGTAATGCAATTAGAGCATCACCAAGGGGCATTCTGGTTGCACTCAGGCTTGGCTTAGCATCCATGTGCAGTGCCGGAACAGAATCATTGCTGGTGGCTGTTTGCCATGCTGTGTGGCTGTGTTACGTGTGGCCATCTGGAGTTACTTGTATTTGCCTTCACCTCCTCAGCATGGATTCAGGTGGGAGCATCCTTGGGGAACTCACGTAATCCCCATTGTGGTGATGGGTTGATGGTTGGACCCGACAATCTAAGGTCTTTTCCAAGCTTGATGATTCTATGCTTGGCCCTCTCGTGTCCCCGTGCAGCACTCTGTCCATCTATGGGATCAACCAGGCGGATGAAGCCATCTACCAGTGCATCGCCGAGAACAGCGCCGGCTCCACGCAGGCCAGCGCCCGCCTGACAGTCCTGTGGGCAGAAGGGCTGCCTGGACCCCCGCAGAGCGTGAGGGCCGAGACGGTCTCTGCCACCACCATCCAGGTGTCCTGGGAGGAGCCTCTGCAGAACACCAAGGAGATCATCGGCTACGTGCTGCACATCCGGAAAGCTGCAGGTATGGTCTGCCCACTGCCCAGAGCTTCCTCAGCCTTCACAGGATTTAGCAGTGAGGTTCAGTAGGTGCACCAGATGTGCACTGCAGTGCTGCCATCAACTCACAGAATCACAGAAGCTCCTTCTCCTCCGTGTTTCTGAAAGACAGGTCGGGCGGTAAGGGGTGGTGTGAGTAGCAAAAGGGTGGGGAGAGTGAAGCTGAATGATCAAATCGCACCACCCTTTGGCAAAGCACACAGAAATGTGAGGAAAAGAGGCATCTAAAAGAAGGTATAGGGACCCAAAAGAGGGTCCCTTCATTAGGGACCAAACAGTCCCTTTTATCCCTTTACCTCTTGCGAAGTCTAATGTGTCTCTGTTCTTTCTTTCACCTTAGATCCCGTGGAGATGGAGTATCAGGAGGCCGTTAGCAAGAGCACCTTCCAGCAGCTAGTGACTGATTTAGAACCCTCGACCAGCTATAGCTTCTATATAAAGGCTTACACCTCCCGGGGTGCCAGCAAAGCCTCAGAAGTCACAGTGGTGAGCACGCTGGGAGAAGGTAAGGATCGCTTTGCGCTTGGGCCGTCAGATGCTGAAACCTGCTGCGCACAGCAGCAGCACCACTCACCCTGATAGCCATTCCCCAGCGCCTTGGCACGCAGCCTGTGTTGTTGTTGCTCCTGATTCCTGCTCTTCTCACACTCTGGGGTATTGTTTAAAGCTCACTTTTATTGCTGTTACATGGGGATCAACCAATGGTCTTAAATGTTGTGTTTCACTCACTTATGCTGTAGCAGAGTGTGAGTGCAAGTCAGTCCTCTCATTCGTCTTGCAGCAGCTGTGGGCTTTTCCTAAACTGCTTGCTAAATGCACATTTCCTCTTGGAGGAGTTCCCCTGCAGCTCTGGTACTCACAGCTCTTACCTGATAGGTGCCATGCTTTTCTGAATTTAAACTTTGTTATGCTCTGCCTTTGAGAAAGCACACTGAGTTGGGTTGTCCTGGCCCACGAGTTCCTGCCCTGGAGCAGCCCTCTGTTTCAGTGGGAAGTTAGGCAGGTCTCCAGATCTTTTCTCTGCCTTGGCCTCTCAGATGTGGCCTCTGGTTTGCTTCCCCAGTTAAAGTGGGAACTGTGATGCAGGGCACTTGTGTATGGACACCAGCCAGAAACCACAGTCTCAGTGTGATCTGCAAACATCACCCATCTGGCTGCTGGCATTTGGAGAATGTTTTCCTATCGTCTCATATGCCTCTCCAGCACCTCTGAATCCTTGTCTCACTGAGAGTCATTTCCTAGGAGCCTGCCATTGTTCTCCTGAACACTCAGTATTTACAAATTTGCAGCAGAGGAGGCATGAGGGTATGATGTAGGATTTAATGAAAGAGTACGCTGACTTACAGGTGGGGAATCCAGCCCTCCTTCCATCTTCAGCTGTTGCAGCCATTTACTACAGCATTTAAGCAACACCACCACTAGATACTTGCCTTGCAAGTTTATTTTATTGGTGCTCCGCAGGGAATCAGTCACCCTTTGAGTTTGTTTTTCCTTCCAATTTAGAGACAGAGGAACTGACCAAGCTGCTACTTGAAATTCCTTGACCCGATGCTCTGAGTTCAGCTACTGCAGCTAAAAGCCAGCCATGCTTCACAGAGTCTGGTGCTTCTGCTGAAGTTTGGGTCAAGCAAGATAGGGCGTTTTGTCATTACTACCTTCAATCACAGCAGGAATAGTTAAGTATCTGGTAATGGGATCATAAATTTCCAGGCTCTCTGAAATTGCAAAGCATCGTTGTCCTGCTCTACTACCCTTTAAAAAGTCTTATTCTGTGTTAATGAACCTGCAGCAATTAGCTACGTGTTCAGGATGGACAAGCTGGCCTGGTTAAGATCACTCAACCTGGGGTTGCCTCCCAGGATGATAAAAGGAGATTTACAAGCCCACTTCTGGCTTGATTTGTAAGCAGACACGGTGCAGAGGACAGTGCTGGCTCTCTCTTAATTTGGTTTTTTGCTTTGCTTCACTATTGCTCACAGAGCTAAGAGGGGCAGGGAGCCAGGATCCAGCAGCTCTGGCCGCCAAATTCAGCTTTTGCTGCAGATATGCCACTTCTCATGCACAGAAAGCCATGTCACACTGTGCCTTCCCAGGCTACACCAAACAGCAGTGACCCTTTGTATCTGGAGAGCTGTGAAGCCATACTGTCAAACAGCCTTGTAAGGGAGCAGAGTTGTCCTGTTCTGCTGGAGAGAAGCTGAGGGCTCCTTTTGGCTGCAGGTATAGCTCAGCTCCACAGAGCTTGTCAGAGCTGCTGGCAGAGGTGTGGGCAGCTGGAACTGCTCAGACCCACCTTGCATTGACCACGTTATGACGGTGTGGTTCTGAGAGCAGGGCTGCTTTTCAGGATAGTAATGTGCTGAGACAGTGCACGTGGCTGAAGATCCCAGTGCTTTCTGTAAGCACAGTGCCCCTTCCTTTGTGGCCAGTGATAATTTTGGATGAGAGGAAGGCAGCAAGGTGCTGCAGAGAAACCAAACAAGACAACCTTGTTCTCCTTGCTAGAAAGGTCTGCTCGCCTCCTCGCTGTTCTTCCTCCCCCCAGCACTGGTGGCCCTCCTGCCTGGTGCCCGTCCTGTGCTGGTGCTGGGATCTGGGTAGACAGGGAGCACTTGCCATAGAAAACCCTTTGACTTCCTCATTTTGGCAATCCAGCGCTTTTCTGGGAGCTTTTGTGCCCAGCTCAGGGCTTCTTTATGCCATGGTATTTTAAATCTCAGAGTCTGTGCGCTTCACTAAGCAGCATGCAGTCCTGTTCTTGTCTTTTAATGCTTTTTAGGGTTTTCTCCAGGACTTTTTGACATTTCTCTAGGATGAAGACCGTTCCTTTAGTCACCTTCGGCTAAAGACGCCTTCAAGAAGAAAGTTGAAATGACCTGGGGAAAATTCCAAACAGCACAGAAGAGGAAAACGAATATCCCAGCCCTTAGCATGAGGGAGATGCCTTACTTATATTAGAGTCATATTATGTTTATATATACTTCTGTGAAGCGCATATACACTCGTGTGTGTACATATATTGCTGCACACACAGATATACTCCATCTGTATACACTTATTTGTGTAATGACATTATAAGCAGCACGTGCATCCTACAAGTACGTCCATATCATTAATATTATACATATATATACTCAGAGTTTGAATAAATACTATATATTTCATACCTTGAAGGAGAGAGATTCTTGTGGTTTTTATTAAATGTAAGGCTCTGCAACCATAAAATAAAGCCAACTCTTCACAAATCAGGATGGGCCACGCTAGTATTTTTTTCTCCATAATGCAATTTCCCTTTCTGTGGTGTTTTCACTGATGATTCAGGAAATGATGCTCTGAGCAAGGGTTTGACTTCTCAGAGGGGAGATCCGATTTCTTATTTTGCCCTAGTGGGAACTGGGAGAAATTAAACGTGTATATGTTATTCCATTGGCTCAGAGAAGGAGGGCATCTTTTTGGGATGCTCACCAGGAGAAATCTCTCTGCCTTCCCCTAAATCTCCTTGTGGGAACACCTGGGCTCTCAGTGCCTGAGAAAAGGCCAACTGTTGTGCTGTGTTGTTCTGACTTTGCTATTAAATTGAGGCAGTGCCCTTTTTAGCTCTCGTCAGTCTCAGACTGACACGGCCACATTTCATCTGCTTTTCAGCAGCGCTCGCTAAATGGCTGCGCTGAACTCTGTGCCAAAGGACAGTGTCAGGGCCGGGATTCACCGCTCATCGTTTAGAGACCTGTGGGGAAAACCAGATAAAAAGCAGCGTCAGTGCAATGCAAGTCCACCAGCTCTCATGTTGGGGGTATTTTGAGCTTATAATCACTCAGAACTGGAAAATAGCTCTGCCTCAAAGCCTTCTCTTGGCTAAAGGCTGCTAGACAAGCAGGGCTGTTGTTCTGCTCGGTGATTTTTGTGCTGGGTTTAGCCAAGCTCCCTGCCCAAAAACCCATGCGGGAGCAGAGCCCGTGGGCAAGGCAGAGCCCACAGCGCCTGCTGCCATCCATCCACCTTCTGAAAAAGGCACAGGAGCTGATGGGAGCATCTGGCCTGGGGGAATTGTGTGGAAATGAAGTGAAAAAATCATCAGTGAAAGGTCCTGCTGAGACACATCTCTGCACTGATGTGCTCAGTGTGGGAGAGAGGGAGGGAGATGGGAAGGAGGATGCTCGGGGGCACGTGGTGCTGTGTGCCACCGCTCTGCACGGGGTTTTGTGCAGAACCAGCTTTGGAAAACTGATTTATTTGATTCAAAGAAAATGACTCTGGTTTGCAAACCTTGGCCTGTCACCCCAAGCTGATGGGGCAACATGGGACGGGGCAGCTTTTGGGGACCTGGGGACAAAGTGACAATGACACTTTGCTGTTTGTAACCCCAAAAACGAGGGCAGGATTTGGGGTTTGTTGAGCAGAGTGCCACTGATGGTAGCAGAAGGCTTCCTGGTGGGCTCTGAATCAGGGCTTGGTGGCAGTGGGCAGCAGCATGGCCATCTTCCCCACTAAATCCCCGTGCGCCCCTACAGCCAGGTAAGTGCCAGCCACAGCTGTGCATGGAGCTCAGGCTGCTCGGGGAAGTAGGGCTCTTACTGAAGCTGCCTCCATTCCCTCCTCATTCTCCCAGCACAGAACCAAATGTCCCTCTGAAAGCCAGCAGGGAGAGCAGCCCAGCACACCCTGCAAGCCCTTGCAGGTACCGAGTGCGCTCAGCCAGGCAGCAGCAGACATACCTCTCGTTCTGCTTTAAGACGGATGTCTCCGGCTCCATCCTTTCTGGTTCCGTCCTCCCATGGGGATTAATCACTCTGAAAGGTCCTCACTGCCCTCAGGGTGAGGGCAGAAAAGTGGAAGCTGAGAATGCGTTTCCAAAGTGGCTGCATTCCTGCCCTGACCCGGCGGGGCTGAGCATCGGATTGCAGCTGCTTGTCAGAGTAGCCTCTGTGCTGGCTGAGCTGAGCGTAGGGAGCCCCTGGAAATTCACACAGCTCCCTGAAGAGAGTCTAGGCTGTTAAACCAGGCCTGGTCTAATTTGATTTTCTCAGTCTCATCTAGCACATTCTTTGTCGCAGTGGCTGCGGGGAAATGCTGGTGGGGAATTTCTCATTGTACAGATACAGAGCGCACACAACCCACTGTCTCTCTCTCTGTTTCAGTCCCAGCCATGCCATCCCTCTTTATTAAAGTCATTAACAGCACAGCCGTGCAGGCAACGTGGGAGCCCTCCATCAAACTGGGCCAGCACGAAGGCTTCAAGCTCTACTACCGCAAAGTCCACCTGTCCCAGTACACAGGCCCGGTGCTGCTGGCCAGCAACGTCACGGCGTACAACATTACCCACCTGGGTGAGTGCACTGATGCTCCATCTGCACCACCTCCTGACCCCGGCAGGGCTCAGATGTGTTGTTCAGCCATTAAGCTGGGAGTGCTACAGCTCTGCCTCAGGTTTATGGGCACTTGGCAGGTGGTGCAGTTTGCCTTGTGACTTGTTTGCAGCATCTTGCATGTTGGGTGACGCATGTTTCCTAAATAACTGCTGTGCTGTGGAGATAACACTGATGATTAAGCCTGGAATACCCTTCTTGTTTCTCCAAACAGATGCATCAATGGTGTATGAGGTCAAACTCCTTGCCTATAACCAGCATGGAGATGGAAACTCGACTGTCCGCTTTGTGTCCTTGAGGGAAACCATGGAGAGGACAGGTAAGATGGGGCTGTTCTCAGTTGTAGTTAATGAATATTGATTTATAGAATCATAGACTATCCCGAGTTGGAAGGACCCATAAGGATCATCAACTCCTGCCTCAAAAGGACCACTCGAAAGTCAGAACGTTTGGAGGCAAGTGGTAACACATCCACCAGGCAGCACCACTTTCAGTCACTGTTATTTTCAGCCTCACAAATGATGAGACTGGGACCATGCTGTGCTGACAGGACTTGGCTCCCTTGCCATGATCCCATCTCAGCTGCCCTTCATTAGGTTTAGCAAGCCAGTGCCTCAAAGCATTAGGTAAAACCTGCTGTCCCCAGGTGAGTCATGGCACACTGAGCATCTTTGCTCAGCTCCCACGGACATTTGAGCTTTATTGGTGGTGAGAAGGGACGTCACGTGGCTTTGAGAAGAAGGGCTGCAGTGCATGAGCAGTACATTATGAGGCAGAAGAGGAAATCTCTAGAGGGAATCTCTAACTGCTCACACCTTTCATTTTCATCTACGGGTAAAAAACATCCTGCTGCTCTTATAGTTCTTTTAAGCCTTCCAGTGGGAATATCTTCAAGAGAGAGTTATTACTTCTCTGTCTATGCTGGAGTAAATACTCATCCCATTGGCAGCTGCCAGCTCTGTGCCTTCTGCCAGGTGCCATGCTCACCCAGGGAAAGTCTGATAACAGCAGCCTGCGTGATAGGGATGGCTCTTTACAGCCTCCGTGGGGTACCAGGAGCAGGGGAGATGCTTAGGTAGGCCAAGAAAAAGGAAACCTTCACTGCTAACCCCCTTCCCCTCTTTCCTCTGGCAGTGCTGAACCCCCCGTGCGACTGCATGAAGGATGAGCAGAACAACAAAACCTCTGCGACTGGTATCATCATTGGGATCCACATCGGCGTCACGTGCATCATATTCTGCGTCCTTTTCCTCATGTTTGGGTACAGAGGAAGGTAAGAGCTGCTCACCATGCAGTGGGTTGTGCATCCTGTAGCATCACTGCACAGCCCTGGCAATGCCACACCGGTGATGTCAGTACCGTGGTCCCTGCCTTCCCCCCAGGCACGCAGACTCTGATGTAACTTTATAGGAAGGATTTAAAGAGCGAAGGAAGGTAGAAAAGAAATAAGGCAGATTTAAGCTTGGGGAAGGAAGGAAGGAAGGAGAGCCGCTGGCTCTGCTCACCCTCAGGCACTGCCTTGTTGTTTTTCAGGCTGCTGATGTGTAAAAACGTGCAGGAGCAGCTGTCGACTCCGCAGATCCCAAGGAGCCAGAGGAGCGCTGCAGGGATCATTCTGAACGGGGCCGCCCGCAGGGACAGGGATGAGCGGGACCTGAACGGAAAGCAGCTGGACATGAACGAGCTGGAGAGGTTGTTCCCAGCATCACCATGTCCAGAGCAGCAGGACAAGGGAATAACAGTAAGTCCTGCAGCATGAGGCGGGAGCGCACCTGGTGGGGGTGGGTTGCTGGTTGGATTAACTCATCTTAGTGGTCTTTTCCAGCCTTAATGGTGTTATGGTTCTATGGAATGCCTAAGAGCATTGGTCACCTGCCACCATCAGTGGACTTTCTTTCTTTGCAGCCTGCTCACAGCCCGCCTGCCACCGACGACGACACCCAGATACCCACGTTGCCAATGGATGAGTTCAGCATTGTTGAGGAGCAGCCAGACTCTCCCCCAAAAAGCCCTCACAATGGCAGCCCCGCTGCTTCGGCTCCCCACCACGGCCCTGCCAATGAAGGATAAACTGCCAAGACTCAAACTCTCTTGTAGGAGTTACCAGAAACCAAAACTGCAGCTGGTGATGTCTTTACAATGATTCATCAATCTCAGGTCAATTGAAGATTTCTACATTCTGATTGTTATTTTTTTGTTTTTTTTTTTTATATATATATATAAGTATATATATATATGTGTGTGTGTGTGTATACAGCCTTTTTGAAACTCTGTGAAGTTTATCTTTCTGACCTGTCTCAGGCCCCTTGGTGCATTTCTTTCAACGATGGCTTTACCAAGACTGGTCATGATTGGTTTTCCCATAGCTGCTAAGTAAAAGGCTCCTTGCAGAGCCTGGCAAACTCCTGTCCCCGACGGCCCAGGGATGCCTCGGTCTCTTGGCATCACAGACTTCTTCCTGACCAGCAGCTTTAGGACTACTTTTTGGATCTATTTTTTATTTTGAGAAGACTGGATTCGGAGCAGTCCTTCTAACTTGACTCCAAAAATTGAGGCCTGGGAAGGCCATCTCTCTGTGGATTGAATGATTTTGTACACTTTCTCTATTTCTCAGGATATTTTTTTGCTGATTGATTATAGAATATGAAGAAAAAAGAAAAAAAAAAGAAAAAAAAAAAAAAGTGTGTCAGAGGAAGCCTGCCTGAGGGCTACTGAAAGACTTGGATAAACAACCCGAGTGAAATCAGAACCTACCTCAACCGGAATGAATGTCTTCTGGGAAGCAGAAATGCCTGCGTCTTCCTTTGTGTTCAAAAACAAGTAGTGTAGCACTTGGTCAGTACAAGCTTGGTCCTACCTCAGCCGTCCCGCTCTGTACCTGCCGCATCGTTGTTGTTTTTGTTGTCGTCCTTCCTGTGTAAAGCACTTCCAAACCTTGAAAGCAATGTTCTACCTCAAGTGTGCGAGAAATCGGTGTGTGTGCGTCCTCACCCCCTCCTCCTGCCTCTTGTGCAGGCAGCTGGTGTTATGAGCTTTATTTTAGGCACGGTGGGATTTCGCCTGGTGGAGATTTGTGTCGTGTTTTTTTTTTTTTTACTTTAAGGACTCTGGGGACCATCACGGATATGGCCCACATGGTGGTTGATGCCCTGCGGCTTGCCAGCACCGTTGCTCTCACAGAGCCCACTTGGTGGTCCCAAATGGCTCCCTTGGCCCATCCTTGGGTGTACGTGGGATGGGTGCACTGGTCTCTGTGCTAAGGCCAGGCACCCTGTGGCCAGGAGCTCATGGAAACCCCAGCTCAGCACTTCCGGAACCCACTGAGATGCTCCTGAGTGGGTTTCCAGTGAGCAGGGCCTCGTCTCGAAGTGGCCACCGTGGTCCATGCATGGCCTACAAGGTCTCGTTGCTCCTGTCAGGACGAGGTATGGGAGCTCTGACTGCGATGCAGCAGGGCTGCCAACACCAAAGAGAGGTTTTGTGACCTCCACCAACCTGCCACCATTTTGGGATTCATAGATTCTTAGAATCACAGAACGGTTGGGTTGGAAGGGACATTCATGATCAGCTAGGTCCAACCCCCTTGATGGGGACAGGGCTGCCTTCCAGCAGCTCAGGCTGCCCATCCATGCTGACCATGGGCACCCACAGCTCTGTGGGCAGCCTGTTCTGTGTTGTCCCAGCCTCACAGGTTGGTGTGTGACTGATGTTGCCCGTCAGGTCCCCTGCCATGTGGTTATTAAAACCAGACAAGCATGAAGGTTTGAACTCTTTTGTAGAGGTGGTGGCAAATACAACGTCACCATGTTTGCAGAAAAAAAGCAAAAAGAATCAGGAAATGAAATGAGTTTAAGAGAAATAATAATTGTATTTTTTTAAATGGTACCAATGGGAGAGTCTCTTATGTCGCAAGAGACTCTCCACCACCTTCACCACCTTCATATTTGGCAACGGGACGCTGCCAGTAATTGTGTAAATAATACAATATATGGGATGGTAAGGAAAGTCCTGTCCCGTGTGCTGCGTCCTGGGGATGGGTGAGGGCCAGGTGTGAGCGGGTCCCTGTGCTTCCAGACCAGATTCAAGCAGCCCCTCTCACCCCACCGGCCGTATTCCTGCTCGGTGTGCCATGGGGACAGCACCATCCATCCCTCGCTGACACAGGGCCGGAGCTGAGCCGTGACCAGAAACCCAAACCTCTCCCCATCCTGCTCCCGGCCCCGCTTCTCGTTCCCTTGTCATTGTGTGGAACGCCGAAGCTGACATTGAAGTACTGTTGCCAAAGTGAACACATGACTTAGAGTAGCTTTCAGCTCAGGATCCCCGGAGCTGTGAATATGCTATTAATTTAATATCATATTATTGTGATATTGTAATAGTATTTCTCATTACTTCCTTTTATTAAAGGGAAATGCTGTGCCATTTGACTAGTTGGAATATGGTAGTACGTCGAGAGTAGATGTTTTTTTTTTTCTTTTTAAATAATTATGCAGAAATGTAATGGCTTAAACCAGTGCAGATTCTGGGTTGGTTTGAGACGCTTGAAGATGGATGTGAATCTTTAAAGGCTGTTTTTAGGTGCGTAGCTCTTCCTCTTGTTGGGTTTCTTTGATGCTCTTCTCAACCCATGCTTACGGTGGGGCAGCCCTGCAGGGCTGAGGCTGTGTGGACAGGAGAAGGATGCAGCCTTCCCCACCTCATCAAAGCCTCCTGAGTCTGCCGAACTGGGCCAAAAAAAACCTCCAGATGGTGGCAAGAGCCGGTCCGCGGGGTCATCGTGAGCCAGGCTGTAGGAAAAGCTGTGCTGGAAAAAGTGAGGGAAGTGTTGGCTGGAGTGGCTTTAATTTGTAAAGCAGGAAGGAGGAAAAAACAAGAGCTTGTTTGGTTTCAGATCAGGGCAGAGGGTCAGGCCTGCCCTCGGTTCATCCAAACTGTTGCCCTGTTTTTGCTGGAAGCCATGGGATTTGTGTGCTGCCAGTGGGAGGACAAGTAGGACAGCAGGTCCCTGCATGGCTTTGGGGGGAGGCTGCAGGTGTCAAAATGCTCATCCCAGGAGTTCTGGGAGCCCTTTGCTGTACCGTGTCACCAGGGCTTCGTTTCTCCATTGGGTGTTGGGTCACCAGAAGATGCAGATGAGCCTCACTCCTGTGCTCCACCACGTCCCAAACGTTCAAAAGCTTGCCAGCATTTGGATTCCTTCTTCTTTTCCCTTTTCTTTTTGGCTCAGAATGTTTTATCCAGCTGCAAAAAGCAGAGGATAAGGGCAGGCTCTGGGTCCCAAGCCACCTGCTGGCAATCACCCATGGTTGGGGCAGGAGTCGCGTCCTGAAGTATTTTACAAGAAAGATAATTCCACTAATTCAACCCCACTGCCTTTTCAGGGCACATCCAGAAACCCCTCACTTTTCTGGCTGTGGTGAGATGAAATTGCAGCAAGGAATTAAGGTATCCAAAAACTGACATTTATTATTATTTTTTTTTGTAACCCATAATGGGCACAACCTATTCTCGGAGCTCTCAAGTCTACCAGAGATGGCTGCTACCTCAGGGATAGTATCCACGTTGTGTTTAGTTGGACAGGGACTAGTTTGATGCTGTGACAGGGTATTTTCACGCTGTTGGATTCAGGTATTTATTTGTCTAACGTACCTTTCTTTTTCCTTGTTTTGGAAAGATGCTGAAATCTTTAAGTGCTGGACCAGTTTGGGAATTTTAAAGATTCCACCTCAGATTGTAATGAGGGACTGTATGTTTTTGGTTGGCAATATACGATGAGGGATGCTGTGCCAGAGACATTTCGGTGTCAGTTGGGTGGCAGCTGCTTGGTGTGTGCATAGGGGAGATAGGTGCAGGGCTGCAACAGCAGAGCTGAACGTGATACATTTCATAGAATCACAGAATATCCCAAGTTGGAAGGGACCCATAGGGATCACTGAATCCATCTCCTGGCTCCACGTGGGACCACCCCAAAATCAGACCATAATTGCACCGACGGGTTTATTCTATGTAAGTATGTACAAACACACTGCTAATTAGAGAATTACTGAGAAGTCATTTCCACCACCACTCAAACTGATAGGCAGTCATTGTGGCCATGTATACTCCATGCCCACAGCATTTTCCTCCATCCCTGCCCCTGCTCGTGGCAATGGCCTCAAACCCATCAGGCGTTGGGATCCTCGCCGAGCTGCCCAGGAATGAGGGGAAAAGGAAATGAAAGCCCTATGAAAACAAACAGCACAGGGGGAGCGACTGACTCCCTTCATCTGTGCAAACAGGATTTGGAAACAGATCCCTCCCGATGCCGGGCCGTTTAAGGCAGATTAAAGATCCTATCTAGCAACCCAATACCAGCTGATTTATTTTCCTCCCTCGGCAAATTAAAAAGAAATAGGGGAAGGGGAAGGGAAGCACCTCTGGACATGGTTATGTGGGCTGCCAACGTGCATCACATCCATGCAGCGGTGCAACCCAGGGCAGTGCCTCCAGGGTTACCCCTGGAGCAGTGTTTGGTCACCTTGTTTTGTACAGGAAGGGTGCTGAGCCAGGGCAAAGCCCAGAGATAGGGGGAGAGATTTTATCGAGCTCTGGTCACAGTCTTACAGGGCTAAGAGGGATTTTACTTTGATCACCATTGCGTCATTGGAACTTGCAATGTCTTTGAGTTTGTAAGAAAGTAATAAAAAAGATGATGCTCAGCCTTTGTCCCAGTCCTTTTTGGAAATCTGCCGTTAAAAGAGTAATGTTAAAAACCCAAATTGCAAAGCACTTTTTTTCTACTGTTTATTTTCTACCTTTCTTACTTTGAACTGTCTTGATATTTGAAATCCCATTGATCCTACAATTGTTAGCTCTGTATTAAAAAAAAAGAAAAAAAAAAGGAAACCCCCCACCCCCCCCCCCTTTTTTTTTTTTTTTTTTTTTTTTTTTTTTTTTTTTTTTTTTTTGTAGTTTGCTCTGTTTAGATTTTAGCCCGTGGCTACTTGTACAAGGAAAATAAAGCTAGAATAAATGAGCTAGAGCTATTCAGCCTGAGCCGTGCTTTGTTCCTGCCGCAGCAGATGAATGGCCGCGGCGTGGGAACCGCGCGGTGTGCCGGGATGGCAGCTGAAGGCTGCTGGGTTGGCTCCTCTCGGTAGAGAATGGCTTCC